CAAATGCACAATGAATGTCTTCAAGAAAGTGGAAATGTTCTATTTTAAAGCAAATTTATCTAGAAAGATAGATTTGAAACGTATTTATTTGTAATTAATTCAATATAAGAAGGCTATTAAAAATAAATGAAATTACACATACCATAAAATCAGCCCTGTCTCATAAATTTATGTAAGAAAGATCTGATTAGATTAGTAAATATAAAAAGCTACAGGTTTTGATAATGAAGACATGAAATGTTTGGGGTTTTTTGTTACTTTTTAATACTGTTCATCCAGTATGCAACATATTCTATTATGAATGTGATGTATGCTGATGACCTAAGTGGAATATGTGTTTAGCTGGCAAGTCTGATATACAAAGATGTTTGAAAAGGCATCATAGGATGTTAAAAATCACTAATGATACTTGCAAGCTTTCTTAAGGACATAGTTATAATCTCACCTCATCTATAGGTTATAATTTCAATTTCAGATGCCACTGGTTTTTAGTTCTATTTTATTTTCCCAGAGGTGAATAATTTTTTTGTGTTTCAGTTGTGCTAATCACTAGAGGTCATCTCCGATCTTTTGACTAGAAAAATAAAGCCCCATGAAAATGAAATGAGATCATTTGAAAGACTAGATTAAATAAAGGATTGCTATAGATGAATTTGCTATGGTTAGGAAGTATATTTTATTAGCTTCATTGTATTCTGCAATGGTAGTCCCCAGTTTGGTCTACTTAATACACATAACTACCTATTTTAAGAACTGAAGTGAAAAGTGAAAGACTCATATTTTGGTCAATTAAGTTTTTCATAGTGAAAAATAATAAGAGGGTTTCTTTAAGCCATTCTACCTAACTTTTTCAAAATCACTTCTTTTTGAGAAACATAAAAATCTCAGGTTCTCCTAAAGTACTTAAAGTTTATAAATAAAAGATATATTAAAAACAGTATATGGAAATTTTTATGAATTCTACTTTTAGCTTGATCTCGGAAGATACTTTTCAATGTTGTCGTTACTCCAATAATTCAAAATCAGCATGAGTATTAAGGCTGCCTGTATATCCTATAAACTTTTCCATCCTTGGAAAAGGATGGACAATAGAGAATGTCATTCAGTGACTTCAGCATTAGCCTTGTTGTATTGTTTCATTTTAATAACCAGAAGAGCATGGAAAAATAGACAGATGATAGACAAATGGATGAAAAGAAACACAGAAGCGAGAAAGCGAGACAAAGAAGGAGGGAAGGAGAAAGAATTTTTCCTTTAAGGGAAGTGTTACCTCCATCCCCTTGAAATCACTAATTTAGATAATTCCCAAAGGAATCTTTGATCAAAGCCACATGATCTAGAAAACTTCTCAAGATTTCCTTTAATCAGCTTAACAAAATGACTACTGCCAAGTCGATTTCACTTAGTTCTATTAAGGCTACTTTGAGGCTCTTAGGGCTATTTTGAGGCCTTCACCACATAATCAAGATACCTAGTTGATAAGGCAGCCCAAGGCAGAAGAAAGATTTACTCTAAACATCGCAATTTAAGAAACTCAGTTTGGAAAACATGATTTAAGAACACATGTTGTATTGAAATCCAACTCTTCACACTATGTTGGGATTACATCTATCATGACATCTCAATGTTCAGTAAAAATTAAAGTCGAGTAAAAAAATCTGCAATTGTAACTCCTAGATATTCCATTGGCCTTATGGTATATCAACTATAACAAGATAATTCCAGGAAGTAAGATAGTGGTTACAACTATGCCTCGTATAAGAAAAACCACTGCAGTTGCAGATATATACACAACATAGTTCCTATATTATATTATTATATTATATTATAGTTATATTACCATAAAACTCCAAAAACTTTTTAAAATTCTCCTTTTAATTTACAAGGTAGTGAAAATGTATAAAGTAAAGGAACTAACAAGTCTTGATTCAAATGACAACTGTGCCTAAGACTCTGAAGACTCCTTAGAATTTTCTCACACATCTTAGTGTGTTTTCTAGATATATATAGCATTTAAAGTTTTGGAAAACAAACACTGTGTATCTGCACACACACACAAAATGCAATTGTAGCATCATCATTTGGATTTACCTAAAAATAAATGTTTAAGCTGAAATTATTTATCTAATAGCCTCATTTCTTAAGCCCAAATATGGAAGTATGTATATTTATGAGTGTGTCCTAAGGAGGTCTATAATCAATAATTTCTATCTCAACATAAAAAAAGTAGTAACAAAATGGCCTATGAAGCAAATTCCCTAGGGCTTTAGAAAGATGTTACGTACTTTGAACTGAATGTTAACACTTAACTTGAGATTATTTAAAACAGCACATTTCTATCTATTAGAATCCCCATGGTTATGAAAGACAAGAACTTATTCCACAAAGATTACAAAAATTATGATATTTGTATGTCTAATATTAGTACTGGCTGGGATTGCACACTGTGAAATAAGAAAATGTAATAGATAATCAGTAAGCATTTCACTCACTAATTATGATTTCACAATTTTTTTAACTTTGTATTCTCAAATGTCGGATACTTATCTGGAAACTGACATCCACTTGGTTGCTAAGAGATATGAGATCAGTTTGCATTTTTTTCTGTCTTTAGGAGAATTGCTCTCTTGGGTTTTACCTCAAAGTAGTAAAAGTTAACTCTGTTACCCATGTGGGGACTTATACTACTTGTACTAAAAGAAACTCCCAAATCTCAGAAAACAAATGAATTACTCTCAATTTGCGAAATTTAAAACAAATATGTTTTTTTCCCAAGCTTAATGAGTTTCCATTTCATGCAACTAAAAGAAAATAGCATTGTTCTACAATCAAATTTAACAGATGAGTTTATGAGTCTTTTCACAAACATCTTATGATAAATGAAGTCATTCAGTCAATTGGTACTCCCAAAGTAAAGCTCAAATCCAACATTTCAAAAGTATTTTCTGCCTGTAACTTTGACTGTGTGCTTCTTTGAACAACAGGGGGACAAGACCAAACTTGATCTATCTGGGTTTTCTTATGTTTTATGGAAAGATCAAAAGCAAAACACAGTCATAAATATGTGCATTCTAACTGGTCATTAGTTTATCACAAATAACATTGATTTGCCTAATCAAAGAGAATATTCTTCCAAAATGAGACCCATATTTCAATCAACACGTTTCTTAATGACACTGAGCATTTAGACTCTCTTCACATGTAAATTTCATAACCTTTCAAGGACAATCTTCTAAATCACATTTTAAAGAAATACACTGAAAAAGCATTCCACTGCAGTAACATTTTACGTTACTATAAATGTAAGGTTTAATTTTTAACACCCGTGTACTTATCACAGAGCCATTGATCATTTACTCTGACTTTTTATCAGTGTTTTACTGGAGTATATGGAAAAGGAACACAAGATAATGTGTTTCTCTACTAAGTGAGACAATGCCCACTTGCCCAGTCCCCTTTTTACTCAACTTCTTGCACACCATCAGCCAGCTGCGATCTTGGTGATTCCTTGTACCTCATATGCTGCTTTAGCAGTAAGTCAGTTTACTATGGACCCATTAAGAAAATTCCTGCTACAAGCAAGGTCTTTGAAATGCAGTTTTACACCAATGAAAGGGCTATCTAGTGCCCATCTTGCGGGGAAAAGAGATGAATTTATCCTCTGTCTTCTGGGCTTTTACTGATTTATAAACTCACACCTTTATAAACAAGTTCTGTCACACAGAGAGGAAGGAGATATGCAAACTGTAACACCTGGAGACATAAAATGTAATGACCTCAAATAACACATCTCAGAAAGAGGGGGCGGGGGAAACCTGGTTCCAGAGAAGAAGAAAAACAAAAGAGGCAAAGGAGCGAATCTGCACCATTAAACAACAACAACAACAACAGGAGTAATAGAAAACCCTCCCGGGTTTTTCCAGTAAGTTTTGTGCAGGAGCAACAACCACCTAATCAATATGCACATCCTCACCCTCATAAAACCTCCTGTCCCCAGACAGAAACTGCGGGTCCCTCTCCACCGTGTCGTCGGGGGCAGAAACCACCACTCAAAAGAGAGGAGATTTCAGAGGCGTAGGGAGGGGCAAAAACAGGTATGTGTAGCTCCAGCATCCTCATCTTCCTCCCAGCTACAAGCCTGAAAGCCCGCCCAGAAGCCAGCCCTGGCTCCTAGACACCCTTCTGCCTGGGCCCTCCCTGCCAGGGGAGCGTGAGAGGTTGCGGAGCCCGCAGCGCAGTTTTCGGACTCCAAACAATGACCCCACCACCACCACCCTCCTTCCCCGTGCCTTCACCCCAGGCCCTCGCTTTCTAACCCCTTCTAGCGAGACCTCGTTGGGGTAGGACAAGGGATGCTCCTCAGCCAAGAGGAGATGCGCCGGGCTTCTCTGCGGGAATGAGTTGCTGGGGGTCGGGTGGGGGTGGTCATGGAGAGGGGCTCTTTAGGAAAACCCAGGACATGGGGCGACTGAAACCTCAGTACCAGTCACCCTCGCTCCCACCCCCACCCCACCCCTTGCCTTAAAGCCGACTTCTCCTGAGGCTGGCGGCGGCAGCGTGGCGCGGCCGGGATGGGGATGAGAGAGAACCCCGGGGCCACCACGGCCTCTCTAAAAGGATTGCGCAGGTGGGCGCAGACCTGGAAGGTCAGCGAAGCCACAGCTCAGAGTTACCCCGGGCCCAGAGAGTGTGAGTGTGAGCGAGAGGGTGACCCCGCGCGCTCGCCGGGCCGAGGGGCGCTCGGCGGCAGGGCAAGCGCGGTGACAGGGGTACCCCGGCCACCGAGGAGAGACAGCTCACCCACCCCGGCGGCGACAGGGCTGCAGGGGCTATCGGGGCTGCGAGACTGGGAAACTTAATGCAAAACAGACAGCTTCCTCCGCCAGGACGTGCCTCCGCGCGCTCAGACCCGCTCCAACGCCTCGCGAATCACCCACCATCACCCACATCACCCTGCAAAAATCCCCACCGAGCCCTCGGATCCCGGGCGGGTTAATTACCTCTCCCGGAGGCGGAGTGGGGGGGCGGCAGCAGCAGCAGACACTTTTAGCCTGACTTTCCTGCGTTCGCTCGGGAGCGTGTGCACGCTGAGCAGGAGCTGTAACCTGCTATTTATAGACCGGAGCCTCAGCACCCGGGGCTGAGAAGCAGGAGGAAGCGAGCAGGCGGCGGCGGCGGCGCAGGGCGCGGGCCGCGTCTCCTCGAGGCTCCCGCGGCTCCCTCAGGCGCCCGGCTCCGGCCGCGCTCGCCGCTCGCTCCCCGCCCTCCCGCCCGCCCCGCCGCGCGCGCCCCGGAGAAGTTGTCACCAGCGCGGCAGCCTCTCCGGCTGCTCACACGCCCCCTGGCACAATTGCTACTTTCTCCCCCCACCCCCACCTTCCCTGCTCCTCTTCCTCCTCCGCCCGTTCCAAGCGGTCTCCTCCCAGTGTCACCAGCGGCCCAATAGGGGCGGCGGCGGCAGCGCCAGTCTCGCAACTGGCGCAGCTCGCTTCCCGCTACTGATGGAGTGGAGTTGGTACCTCGGCCGCCCAGCCCTAAATGACCCAAACGCGCTTGCTCCGTGAGCTGACACCCTACACCCCGACCCTCTGCAAGCGGGGACGGTCGCCCAGCCTGGGCTGGGGGGAGCACAGCTGCAGAGTGGAGGTGAAGGGTGACCCGGGGCCGCCACGCTGAAACGGGGGCCGGAAAAACCACAGGGTTCTTCTCTAACGGGCGGGAGAAGGTGCCCCAGACCCCGGCCACTGGCAGCGCCGGCCCAGGCTGGGGGTGAGCGAGAGTGGGAGGCGGTGTCCCCCGTGCCCCGGACTTCAGCCTGCCACCACCCTGGGACCCGTCTCTCTTGCCACTCCTCCGCCTTGGCCCGGGTAGAGCTCTGACGAGGGAGACCTGGGCACTGACGGGGCCTCCAGCTCGGGGCAGCCCACCGCCACCCACCGCCAGCCCCCACGTCGCGGCGGGTGCCTGAGGCCGAGCTGCTCCTAACCGGCGTGTGACACGCCTCTGGCAACCCGAGTGCGTGGGGACAAATCTGCACTCTGCGTGTTTGGGGTGTCAGGAAAACAGGGTACGTAATCACGCAGTCTGAACGGAGACTAAAACTCCCCCACTTCCTAGCCAACAAGACCACAGTGGAAGGCACGCAGCCTGGTTATTCCGGGCTGTGGGGTGTGGGGCAAATGATTCTCTCCATCTGCGCCTTACAGGTGCCACCTGGCGGTTCTCTTGCAGAGGTTTTATCTGAACTGCTCAAAGATAATGGGAAGGCTGGTAACGCCGAGCTCCAGTCCACTCAGGCATCCTCAGCCTCTCCCTTCCCTAAGAGTGCTTTATATCCACATTTGGAGTGAGAAAGCTAGTACACATGAGTTACATTTGCCATGCAGGAATCCCGATGTTAGGATGGTGAAGTCGATTTGGGTTAAGTCAGCACTTAACAGTTACACAAAGTGGGAAGCTATTGCTGCCCCCAGCTGTCACCCCTGCTGTCATTTCCTGCATCTAGGCAGCCATTCACTCCATAAACATTTAACTGCCACCAGGTTATAAGCTTTATCTATGAGAACAGAGACTTTGGTGTTTTGTTTGTCTGTTTTTCCATCACTTTTCCTCAGAGCTTGGAACAATGCCTTACATGTTGTAGTTTCCATAAATGTTTATGGAATAAATTAAACACTATGGGCCAGACACTGTGCTTGGCTTGTTCTCTCCCTTAGCCCCTGCAGCCCTTCCCTTTCCCTCTCTTCAAGCTTTTTCTGCTATGCCCAGCCACCATCACATGTGAGCTAGAAGGAAAGAAGAAAAGTGAGGGGCTAACAGTTCAGGCAGGCCCTGTGGGGATGTGGATCACATTTGAGGAGCCTGTACAGTTAGATTTCTCCTGCATGGGGCAGTGCTGAACACACCCATTTTTGGAGAAAAAAAAAAGACTATGTCATACTTGGGGCTTGAAACAATGGATAAATTCTGCTAATAGAGATCTGCTGGCAAGATGATACAACTTTCTCATTGGGCAACAGTTTCAGCCTTTTCTTAAAATACAGAAAGATTGAAAGAATATCAGAACATCAGGGTGCCAGAGCTTTGCTACTAAACTGGAAAGATGTTTAACATATTTGTCCTCTAACTTGAAATGGAGCTCTGTGTGTGTGTGTGCATGTGTGTGCATGTGTGTGTTTATGAAGACTGCCACAGTGCCAGAAGTACTAAACTGTTCCTTTTAAAAGACAGAGTTGTAAAATAGATGTGGCTGATGTCTTTATGGAAATGAACACTTAAAGTGACATACCCAGAAAATGCTCTTACAATTAAAATCCAGACACAGATCATGCTGACCTAGACCTTTCACAGGGCTGCTGAGGAAAATATGATGTACCTGTGTACGTCTTCTAGAAGTTTAAATTCTGGGGAGAGAGAGGGAATCAGGGAGAAAGACAGGGAGAGAGAGGGAGGGAGGGAGTCAGATACATGTACCACATGACATTTTAAAAATCCATCAATCAGCCTGATAGTTACCTTTTTTAGTTATTTGTTGTTTTCTTTAAATGAGCCTAGAGGCTTCAGATGTTTCTGTGGTTTATTAAACTCATATTTAATGAACATTCACTTTTACAAACCTTGAACTTTTAGCCACTTGTGTCCCCCAAACATAATTCCATTTGCCAATGAAGGACAAAATATTTTTCATTTCCTTTTGAAATATCTTTGTATGGCCAGAGGTAAAAAACATGATTCCCAGTAGTTACCTTGCTGTCTAAAGCAATAAAATCAAGCCAGGATCTGCAGGGCTGGTGTCACACCCTCCTTTTTAGTGAAGTAATTCATTCATTATTCCTGGAGATTTCTATTTCCAGTGAGCTTGGTATGGCACAAGGAGGACTCTATACTTTTGTGATCCTTCACTATTAAAAACCTATAAAAATATAGCCAAGTATGACAGAGGTACTTTTTCTTACCACAGTTGTTTATTTCTATTAATGATAACTTTGCAGATCAAGTCATGGTTTTCATTCTAATTTTGAAAAATTAACACTGGAAGAGTTAAGCTTGGATAATCATACATTAAGGTCATTTTTACATGAGCATGCGTGTGTGTGTGCATGTGTATTTAAATTAAATTAATGGGAAATGTTATTAGAAATAGAAATTTGACCCAATTTAACTAAAAAGAAGAAACCATTTGTAAAGGTACCAGGCTACCCATGGAACCAAAAACAGGAATGCAGCTGGGCATCCGTCACAACTTGGCAACAGGGACATGCCATTAGGACTTTATCTCTCCCTCCTCCCCAACCATGCTGCCTGCTCCATTCTTTCTGCCCCCACTCCCCATACAGACCTTCTCTGCTTCTCTGGTGTGCACTAGGTTCCATGGTCACTCACAGCTGTTGAACTTCATAGTCTATGGGCCAGTTCCAAATCTTCAAGGAAGTACCATGATTGGCCCAGGTGTTGTACCCCAGTCCAGACAATCATGGCCAGGAGATAGAGGGCAAGTTACATTCTCCTGGCAGCTACTATAGTAATCAGGGGGCTGGTAGCGATGTGTTGAGACAAGATGGAAAGGATAAAACTTCCCAGAATGTGGGGAGGAGTATAGGTCACTCCTGATCACTGCTAACTCCTGATCCTGCTGTTCCATAAATACTGGCACAAAAGGCAGAAGAAACACAAGGAGCAATGACTTCTGTGTAAATGCATATGGATGTTTAAATACTGAGTGAGGCAGAATGCCTCTTACTGATCGTGGTGCTCTAAGATGACTTGTCCTAGTGGAAGTAGTTATATAGTTTTATGATCTCTTGATGTGGAACTGGATGACCATGAAGAAGGAATCAAGTATTTCACAGACAGTTTACTTTAGCTTCTTTTATCATGGCAAATTAAATCAGAGATTTTTTTTAAATGAAGGAAATGAGTGTGATACCATTTACATTTATTGAAGATAAACATTCTGCTCTCATTTACATAATAGCTACATTTCTAAAATGTTTATAAATCATATGTTTGAAAGTGAATCATATTTCAAACATAACAGGGTGGTGAATCTTAACATTTTCGTGGTCATGAACCCCTATGAGAATTTGAAGAGAGCTGTGGACTCTCCCCAGAAAAAAATACGAGCAGATGCAGACACATTTGTGGTGACATGATATATGACATCTCTACCTTAGTCCCCTCTTACATATGATTTCACTTTCCACGGTGTCAGTTACTCAGCCTAGAAGCAGGTGATCCTCCATCTGATATATCATCAGAAGGTCAGCCGTAGCCTAACACTGTGTCACCATGCCTACCTCATTCCCTCACTTCATCTCAGCATGTAGGATTTTATCATCTCACATCATAACAAGAAGGGCTGAGTATACCACAACAGAAATTTGAGAGAGTAAGAGACCACATTCACGTAAATTTTATTATATTATGTTATAATTGTTCTATTTTATTCTTACTTACTGTTGTCATTATTTCACGGTGCCTAATTTATAAATTAGACTTTATGGTAGGTTTGTATGTATAGGAAAAAACATAGTATATATACAGTTCAGCACATCTATGGTTTCAGGCATCCACTGGGGGTCTGGAAGTATCTCCTGGGGATACTGGAGGTCCACTGTACTTGAGATCTGAAACTTTAAACATGTTTCTTTTTCCTTCCTTCAATCACCCCCATTTGAACAAGTGAAACAAAGACTCCAGATACAAAAGATTCAAATGCCCAGTAAGCATAAGCCAAAAACTTGGCTGAGGGTAGGGTATGCTGGAGCCTATGTGAACCTAGGGAACAAGTCCCCTTTCCACCTACTCCTGCCCCAAATGAGCCATAAATGAGCTGTAGGTAGGAAAAGAAAACAGAGATCCTAGAAGGACGGGAGAAAATTGCAATGTGGGGAAGGATGTTGTATTAGTTTGCTAGGACTATCATAAAATACCACAGACTGGGTGGCATAAACAACAGAAATTTATTTCTCATGGTGCTGGAGATTGGAAGTTCAAGATCAAGATGCTGTCCCAGTTACTCTCTCCTAAGGCCTTTCTCCTTAGCTTGAAGGTGACTACCTTTCTCTGTGTCCTCACATGGTCTTTCCTCTGTGCGCAGCACCTCTGGTGTCTCTTAGTGTGTCTAAATTTCTTCTTTTTATAAGGACAACAGTCATATTGGGTTAGGTACCACTCTGAGAGCTTCATTTTAACCTAATCACTTCTTGAAAGA